CCACAGGGAAGAGGAGGAGCTAAGAGCAGCTCCTCTGGGACCTGACAACTGTTGGGCAAGAACCCTTTATTCACCCCGGGTCAGAGGGGCAGAGCTGACATGCGGATCTGTCCTTCCTCAATCCTTGCTGTTGACTGCTCACATCCTCTCCCATCCTGACTTCAGGAATTACTGTATGACCCACAGACCTTCATGATACTTAAAGGCAGTGGGTTCTTCTTGCTTCCACAAAGCACAAATAGTGAGACGTCACAGAGAAGCATTTCCTGAGGCCTGAGAAGGGTTAGTTAAAGGAGTGGATAGTTAGGATTCCAAATGAGGCCTTACTTCCCCTGAGCACTGGACTCCAAGTGGCTAAGGGGCCATATGAGCATCAATAAAATCACCCTTTTAGTATCTGTGAATGTGAGGTGGTCTGGAGCACTGGCTCAGGTCCCAGTGCCCAGGCCCTCTGGTAGACCACTCACCCAGACCGACATCCCAGTGATAGTGTTACATTCAGCTTACCCTGGCTCTGGACCAACCTTCTTCTTGGACAGAAGGAGCTTTTCAATGCATGCACGCCTCCCCCTTCTGTCCTGCTCAGATCTAGTTGTGGGGATGGGGAGAGCAGAAGCAAAGGCTATGCAGCCAGCCTGAAGAAGCACTCCCATCTGGCTGTCCATCCTTCTATCCGTGTGTGTGTGTGTGTGTGTGTGTGTGTACGCACGCACGCGCGCATTGGCTCTTGGGCCGTATCTGACCCTTCCTTCTGTATTCCTGCCCTCACTTCCCATTTGTTGTGTCATTCCCCAAATCCTGAGCTCCATCAGCTCATCCCTGCCTTGTTCCTTTCCCTAGACCCCCAATTCTTTCCTGGCTGATTCTGTTTGTCACAGGAGATTTTCTCCCTTTCTCTGAGGACGCAAGGCAGAAGATATGGAGCTGAGGCTGGAACATCTGGTTCCTGAGATTCTGACAGAGTGAGACAGACATTTTCACCAAGAAGGAGCATATCGTACAACAGAATTAAATGGGCATCAAAAAACATGCAGGAGTTGACAGTCAGGCTCACACATTTTGGGTGGCTGTCTACATAACTAGGGGGTTACCAGTGGGATTTCACAGGCTGCCCAGTGGAAGAAGGGCTGGCCATGGCCTCTCTGGTCACCCTGGCAAAGTCTTGTTTCTTCAAAGGTCCCCATGCTCTCACAATGAGAACAGGTGGGTACAAAATACCCACATCCTCTGATCTCTGTACATTGAGGTTTGTGCCCAGTGAAATTAGGTATGTCTAAAATCACATCCAGAATATACTTAAATTGTACTGTGATACAATTATTTTTAAGGATCTGATTTCACAGATGTTTTGGTTGGATTTTTTTTTTTTTTTTTTTGTTAGGTAACGGGGACCGAACTCGAGGCCTGGTGCTTGCAATGCAAGCAGCTGAACTACTGAGCTAAATCCTGGCCCTGGATTTTATTTTTAAATGACCTTAGCCAAAAACATCTCCCCAAAACAGCAGGTTCATTTCAATCGAATATTTCA